TCTGCAGCAACTTGTTTCTATAAGAAATAAAAGTGTTGTGAGATATGATTTCACTTTACAACTCAATGATGTTACCATGCCAACAATACTAGACTATAAAGGCATACGAACCAAGGCTTCGATTTCAGTTCAAAATATCTGTATTTATAATCACGTGTTCAATCTTTCACAAGTTAGTTATGTCTATTAAGTCGCGCGTGCTGTACTCTTTTTAAATAGGATAGAATATTATTCTCACAGAATAACCACGCAACAGATTAGCCAAGAAATGTACGCCTTTGTTCCATATGATAAAAAGAAAACAAATTAATTTTGTATTCAAGGCAATACTACTAAGACTATCAACCACCATCCCTATATTTGAACTCCTGGTCTGAGGGAAAGCGACCAGTCAGCACCCATCAACAGTGCTAAGAGATTGATTGTCACTCTTATAACGCATCCGCAACTTAAAGGTGGGGGGGGGGGGATCTTGTTATACTGACTTGCCAGCTCCAAAATCCAGAGCTTTGTACTAAAGGGTCAATCCGCTACCGGAAAAGTTTCTATTTGTCTTGAATTTCGCGGAAAGCTACACGAGGGCTATTTGCGCTAGACGTACCTAATTTAGCAGTGATAGACTAGAGGGAAGGCAGCTAACTAGTCAACACCACCCATCCCCATCTCTTGGGCTACTCATTTACCAACGAACAGTGGGGGATTGACCGTAACATTATAACGCCCCCACGGCTGAAAGGGTTAACATGTTTGGTGACGGGGATTCGAACCCGCGACTCGCACATTGAGAGTCGAGCACCCTAACCACCAGGCCCCCTACCAGAAAAAAAAAATTCTTAATTATTTTTTTTCTCCAAAACTAGTCCTCTCCCTGAATTCAAGACCTGTTGAGCAATGTTTTTCGCTTACTTTTAAAACACTATACGAAAGAAGAAGTTACTTATTCATTTCGAATTACAAAGAGCAATCCTTATTTCCGGGAGCCGGGCGTTAGTGTGCCTGGCTATGAATTCGAGTGTCCACGGTCCGCGTCCTGTTGATGCAAGTAATAAAAATGAAAAGTACGCTACGTACTTTGGGTCCGTGGGCACAATATAAGAGCGACAATCAAATTCAATGACTCGATTACGTAGCCAAAAGGTTGGCGGTAAGTACTGTTGATTAGCTGCCTTCCATCTAGTTTATCAGTTCAAAATTAGGAAAGTCTATGGCGCAGGCAGTCTTTGTGTAGTTTATAAAATACACCGATTATTGGAATATTCATAGTCCTAGCATGCAGTTTACATCTTTGTTTGCCCTCATATAGCTTTGTGCGAAGATATGAAACTACCCAAACTAAACTAAACCTAATCTTCGTTAAGTATGAGTAAAATAATAAATAATATAAACTTCCAGAACATATTTTGATTTTTAATTCTACATATAGCAAATAACGAATTTTCAATTTACTGAATACAAATCATATTTAACATAATAAGACGGCATCCAAGTCTCTGTGACTTGAATTAGTAACATGAAAACATTTTAGTTTATAGTTAGGCCTACTTTATTCTAGTCTATTTAAATGTATGTATCAACCACAGTCACAAATACTTGACGTTATTTTATTATTTATTTACTTATCCATATACAGGGCCAAGGACATTTAGGCATCACACACAACTATACAAAGCCAGCACTAATTGAGCTCATAGAATTAAACGAAGGTAGCTAATCAACAGCGTTCACCACCATCTCTTGTGGTACTATTGTCTAACCCAGTGATTCTTAACTGGGTGAATGGTTCAACCTGGAGTTAATGAGAATGATGGGGTGAATGACTATTATCAATTACACAACAAATTAAAGAGCAAAAAGTCATGAGTTATTATTATACATTCTATTTGTAGTTTATTTTATGTTGTATTAATTCTAGTTGTGTTAGGTCATCAAGAAGTTAATGTCGCGTTTTGGAACACTTTCATTATCCGCCCCCCAAAAAACGTACATCACGTATAATAGTTAAACGAACCGCCTAAAACGTCACGCCTATGTAGCATATATGATGTGTAAGCTAGTGTAACCTACATAATGTCACTTTAGTGTAACCTACATAATGTGTAAAGTTTACTATACTCTAATCCCTTATAGCAATGACACATTACGAGATACACATTCGGCATGTAATGCTGTTTGAATGTAAGAAGGGAAACAACGCCTCTGAAGCCACAAGGAATATCAAAGAAGTTTATAGAAATGTTTTGAACGTTCGTAAGTGTCAACGATGCTTCAGCAAATTTAGTTCAGGTGAGTTTAGCCTTAAAAACTGTAATGGCAGGGGCCGACATGTTGGAATTGATATTAATGCTCCGAAGACACTTCTTGAGTCCAACCCAAGGCAACACACTCGTGAAATGGCCCTGAAATTTCATGTCTCTCGTGAAAGAATACGTAAACATCTAAGGAATATGGAAAACTTCCATAAAGAAGGTGTTTGGGTGCCTCACGAACTCTCCGATGATCATCGTTTCCAACATGTGAAAGTTGCTTCGTCTCTTCTGGCACGTAATGCGCGTGAACCATTTTTGGACAGAATTGTCACTGGTGATGAAAAATGGATTCTCTATGCGAATATTAGACGCCAAAAACAATGGCTCAGTCCCAGACAAAAACCACTTCTGATCCCAAAACCTGGACTCCATACGCAGAAAGTGATGCTTTGCATTTGGTGGGACACCAG